GTCATTTTGATGGCTCGAGTTATTCCAAACTCAGCAAACTCGAGCAAACTAGTTTGTCGAAGATCACGTGCACGGCCTTACTTCTCATAACTTCTGCAAACTAGTTTGCACCGAAGTTTATCATGTTCTACACTGTGCAATTATGGAAAAACTTTTCTGGCCATAACTCGCTGAGTTGCTGCGATTGTTCTCGAGGTTATGCAAACTAAGTTTGGCCTAGTGTGACAGTGGCCCTTAAGACAAGACATCAAGATTTAAGTTCTACTGGCTTATGGTAACTATGGCGCCGCGTCGGTTTCCGCAGGCACCGTACCGCCGGCTATAGTTACTTTAGAGCTATAGAACTACATAAACAATAGATAACTAAAACATATAGCGCCATTCATGTTTTATATAGGTTATGGAATGTATACAAGGTTATGCTCTTAAAGTTTTGTCTGGATGATCGCGTTAAGCGGAAAACTCGGTCAAAGTATACAGGCTAAAGTGATGTCTTGTCTTTAATTTATTTGACAGACTAACAATATATTATATATATATATATATATTATATATATATATATATATATAGCATTTATCATTCTGCACTATAGTTCAATATACAAAAATAGTTGAAAAGATGGTCTGAACTCAAAGAAACTAAATAGTCCATCTTACCTGACAGGAGGTGTTTTCCTATAGAGATCTAATTCCTCCTCACTCTCGCTGGCACCCAGCAGATTTCTTGGCTGTAATTTTACACAATGCACAAGTTTAACATTGAGGTACAGATAGACTGTCGCTAATTAACAATGATTGAACAAATCCCATTTATATCACCCATTTGAATCTGTGCAGAAAAGTACAATTTTTTTTTATATGGGACAGGGTTCTTTTCAGGCCTTTAACGCACGGCTAGTCCAACATGCCTCTAAAGCTAGAGGTAATGTGCAACATTCTATAAATCCTCCGCCAGTTACATTGTCTTTTGACAATCCCAACACAGTGACGCTGTGCTTTCATTGCCTGATGCATACGGAACACTTACCATTTAGGACCACTTACAACACACGTAATTGTCTCCAATTAGCAATTTGGGATGAATTACCAGACTGCCCCATATGCCTTCCGAATTTCTGGCTGAAAACCTTGTGTTATATCCCGGGCCCCCCACTCCGAGGTCGGAGGGACCGCATGCGCGTTCCCAAAATCTCCGGTAAAGGGGTATTTTTCGCGCGACAAAATCCGGCCCAAGAATTGTAAAAAAGGGGGTGTATTTGACTTTTCACCCGGAGATTTCTTTAAAAAAGGGGTGTTTTTCCTCTCGCTCTTTCATCTTGAATATCATAGAAAACTTTATCAAATCCCGGGATCAAATTCATGAAATTCCTGCTAGTTTTGAAAGCTCATTCAGGATTATTTCGGATTTAAGGGGGTCTCCAAGGCAGGAAAAACCCGCAAAAAGCCCGCGAAAGAGGGGTTCGGAAATTTTGGCAGTCCTGAAATAGGGGGGTGCTTTCAAAGGGAGGGAACGAGCATATGCGTACCCTAAATAACACTGAGTGGGGGGCGCGGGTGTTATATGTATTAATCCATTTTTTGTGCATGTTAATTCATGCCTAATGACTACAGTCCGTATTCAATGCCTGTGTACGATAAACATTATGTCACATATGATACGTTCGTGATTAACTGATTGGAAGGTACAGTTGAACACGTTCTAGAAACAGTTCCTATAGCTGCAATGTAATTTGTGCGTTTCACAAAACTTTCCACAAGTCTAAGAATGACATGATACGCTCATTTAACACATTGTTCATTCTTAAAGGTAGTACAATCTTCATTACTGACCTTGGTTTTATTGAAGTTCATATCCTCACAGAACTGTGATCGTGCTTTTGCCTGCTCGGCCTTTTTCTTCTGTAATACCAATAGAACTACCTATAAGTGATAGATATCCATCCGTCAACAAAACAGTTGAATTATTCTTGTTCAATGACAGTAATTAACAACAGATATATCATCGTGAATATACCGCTCAGCACATACGGGATGAACCTCAATGAAGACTCCAATCGTTGCTGTATTCGTATGTTTACTTGAAATGTAGTACACCAAACAGGCCGAATACTAATTTACGGTTACAATATAATTTTCTACCTTACCCTAAAAAACTTTTTCACTGCTCCACGCCTGGAGCTGCCTTCACGCTCGGAGTCCCCTCGATTGTTTTTGCATGCAGAGCAGCCACACCGAACACAGTGGAACAACCTAAGGAAGTACATAACATATTAGTTCTACCCATTTAGCCCCCACCCCCCGTTCTCGCTACAGAAACCACCCTGTAGTAGGAGCGAATGAGCTACACATGACTGTAGAGCTAACTGATAACATGTAAAATCCAAAATATAACAGTGTAAATATAAATGAATATAAACATGCAAAATGCAATACTTAAATTTACATAAAATTGGATTCTTGCAAACTAGTGACTAGGCAATAAATCAAACTTACTATTGCTATGTAAATATCATATGTAGAACCAAACGGAATCAGTTTGAAAAAATATATATCCAACATTTCAATGTACCACTAAATATTACACGAAATAAACCCGATAAAAAATAAAATTCAATACCTGCAGCATATTCCATTTTGATTAAAGATCATACCTCTGTATTTCACACATATCTGAAATAATGACCATAAGTCCGTAATAGAAAAGAAGTTTGCAATTTAATTTTTATATACCCCAGTAGATTACCATGTTCTTGTTTTCATTTGGCATACTTCCAATTTTCTCTTTAAACGCAACGTAAAAATTACAGTCTTAGCAGATATAATTAAAATATACATGCTCAACATATAATTACATATGCGATTTAGCTATCATGGCAATAAATTACCAAAATCACAGCAATTAGACTTCCTCCGAAAATTGCTCCAGCTCCAATAGCCAATCCTAAAATGCTGTTTCTGTGCAGGGTAATATTTCGTTCCATGAATGCTTCGGTCATTTGTGCTACACGGTGTTCATTTGCAGGTGCCAACTCATCCTTACGACTTTTACTGTCAGCGTTACTCTCTGCCGTGTTTCCAGGATTTTGTTTAGGTGTTTTATTTACTTGTTGCTTAGAAATGCCTGGTGCAGCAGATTTAGTCCCTTTCACAGGAACTCTGGTAGATATAAAGGACAAAAACTAATCACTGATAAAGACCACATCACTAAAATTATTTAATCAAGATCATTATAAAAATTAAAACTACATTAAATACAGTGGTTAATAATAGTGACTGAGAACCACGCATTTCACATTTATCCTTACCTCAAAGTGCTAGACTTTACTGAATAATGGTGTTCACCAAATAGCTTCATTTCCTCAATGAAAAGCTGCTTCATTTGCTTCCTGCGTTGAAGATCCTGCACACCATTGATTCTATTCACCATGTCACTAACAAATTCCTCAATAGCAGTAACTGCCACACGACTCCTTATAGGAAATTTCTTCCCATCAACCAGCAACATTCCTCTTCGTACATCTGGTAGTGTGAAGAGAAGGGGTGCATCTGGATCATCTGCTGCCCTGTCTGTGGAAGATGCAGGAGTGGTCTCTGGTGGTAGCAGTTCAAGAGTACTGTTCATTCTGCCAACAAACTTATTTGCAAATGTCCTTTGTTCTTGAGGATCTTTAATGTGTTTTAGTCTGCCAAGTACCTTTTGCAAAAATGCAGTAATTGTGCTCTCAGCTTTGGTACTAGCTACCAAGGTAATGTTGTCTAGAGACTTTGCATGAAACTTCAAATTTAAGTCTTTGTGAGCACTTCCGGGCAAGATTGCAGTCTTAGTTGGCAAGGTACTGCTTACTTTATATGATTTGAAATTCGAAGCATATGTTGTGTTTAATTTGGAGCCTGCTCTATTGTTACGGAATGCTGCGGTTTTTAATGAACCGTGATTTTGTTCTACGTTTAAAACAGGGTAGTTTTCATTATATGGATTTGTTCTTTGATGTTGGTATCTCATAAACTTTTGTTTCTGTGAGAGGTTTGGAAAAACTTTATTTACTCTATTACTTATAGATTGTGATGATTTTAATGGTGATGAACCTATACCACTTCGTCCAATTAATGGGGGATGTAATGACTGTTCACTGATCAGTGGATGCCCAGAATGAATGTATTTTCCACTTGTATGATATGTCTTGGTAAGATAGTCTATATAACTGAGCAAGTTCTTGTCAATGTCTTCATGTTCAATATGGTCACTTATGGGTTGCATTTGGGTGGTTCCATCTCGTTTATACTTCAGGAAATCGCTAAACAGTCCATCATCTTCGCCTAAATACTTCTGCTCGATCACGGGAAGGTTGTCATCTTCGATTAAGTAGTCATTATCTTTATCAGTTGGTTCATAATCAATGAAATTGTCATATGGCCTGTAATCATTGCCTGAATACTTTTGCTCATCATGGTTGTTATCTCCTAATGAGTAGTCTCCATAGTCATAACTGGGCACTGGGACTTTAGATTCTGTAGAAGTTTTTCTTAAGATATTATTTTCAGCTAGGTTTCCAGTGACACCTGAAAAGATAACAAATGGTTAGTTTTTATGTTAATGATATAATAAGAACAATCATATGGCAACAGATGCAATAGCTAGACGAGTATGTAATCGTTATATGACCATACAGTACAGCACACTATAAGTGATGTAAACTATCTATTTTCAGTTACTCTCAAGTAGATGATCCAGATTGTTTTTATTACTTTATGCACATATTCAATGAACAATTGCTGTATAATAATGATTAAAGCACAAAGTTCCATGAAAACTCTGTTTAACTACTATAAATACAGGTAGGGTTTTACTATTAAACATTTATATTCTACAGACAACTACATAAGTACTATGAAATCACTATTACACTCTCATAAATCACCGCAGCCGGCTGAAAGGGGTGATAGGATATGTTTACTAGGCACTTCTAATTTTAACATATATTTTAAATTTAATTAGGGTCAGGTTTAGGGTTAGGGTTAGGGTTAGGGTTAGGGTTAGGGCAATTTTTAGGGTTTTTGCATCATTCTTTAATATATCGTAAAATATATGATAAAAAATTAAAAGTGCCTAGTAAACATATCCTATCACCCCTTTCAGCCGGCTGCTAAATCACCACACACACGTTATAGATGGTGCTGACACCTGTCACATTACATCGTGTGTTTGTAGCCCAATACCTGTATACTATATAGTTTACTACAACTAGTTAATTAATCGATAATCGATTAATTGAGATGTCAGTAAATCATACCATAATGTAGGCACACAATGACAATTGCAACTAATGCAATGAACGAATGTGGATGTACATTCATGTTTTTTCACCAGCTTGCAGAATAATTCCCTCATTGGCGAGTAAAATTGACAACTTCCATTGGGATACACATAGATGTGAGCCTAAACCTGTATTAAGAAAAGTGCCAAACCAAGAAAAATTACTACACACAAATATAAATAAAAGCCATGGCTCATCGACCGGTAACCGGTCGCCAATGCTCCGTGGCTAAACGACCAGTTAACAGGATGGACCAATCAATAGGGAGCTTCCCTCGCACGCAGCATGCTAGGTCGAGTCGCTACGGTGGTGGTGCTGCCAGTGGCAGTGCCAAATAAATTTGTTTGTTTTTCATCAGAAAACTATCAACACATTTACATGGCTTTATAATTATAGCAGTAATTAATTATTGTGTACCAGTATTAAAACTAGTTTAAACAGTACATTTAGCAGCAGTTGTAGTATATTGTAGTAGGATTTTAGTACCCTACCATGCGTTTCCACATGCGTCTAAACAGAGGAATTGCTCCGACCTGTGATTGGAGGATAAAAATAGAATTCGTGACGTTTCGTTTCACCGGTCATAGCCGCGCGTGTATTAGCCTATGAGCGATACCGCACGTGCTTATTCGCTAATTACAGGCATGAGGCAGACAAATGCTGAAAAGGGAGGAAGAGAGGGGGAAAGGGGGGAAGGGAGGAGGGAAACTTCTAGGGGGGTCTGGGGGCATGCCCCCACCCAAAGTTTTGAAAATTATAAGCTCTGAGATGCAATCTAGAGCCATTTCAGGGTACTCCAATAGCTCACAACTAGCAACACTTTTTGGTGGAAAAGGAAAAAATTATGTAAAATTTACCTACTGTAAAATTTTGATGGGCACTGGGGAATTCTGTCTGTGTTGAGTGTGTCCAAAGTAAATGTATTTTGTAGACATACAAGCTCTTACGTAGGGAAGCTTTTATTTAGCTACACCCTGTATAAAATAGTGAGTAGAAGCGCTCCGGATAGTTATACCGAGTCACAGTGTGTTCACATGTACGCGATCGTCAGAGACCACGGAGGTATTCTTACCAAAAAAATTTCTCCTCGAATTTACATTGATCTCAGAAATGGTCTCTGGAGTTCTAAAATGGCCGTAAATCCGCCGAACGGCGGAAATGTCTCATGCCTGTAATTAATTAGACTAATCGTGCTTCAATGAACTCAAAATTCACAGAGATTATAGCTAAGACATGTGTCTATAATTTAGCTAGAATTTATAGAAATGTAACTCAGCCGCACGTGTATTAGCCTACCCAGATAACATGCTGACGTTGGGCCAACGTTTGGCCAACGGCTGTCTTCAGCTCATGCTAACGTTGGCTGCCAACGTTGATCCAACGTCTTTTTGCTCAGCGTGCCAACGTTGGGCCCAACGTTGGCCGCCAACGTTGGCCCAACGTCATATTGCCAACGTTGGCCCAACATCAGACAGCCAACATTGATCCAACGTCTTTTTGCTCAGCGTGCCATAGTTGGGCCCAACGGTGGGCCAACGGCAGTCAGCCAACGTTGGCCCAACGTCATATTGCCAACGTTGGCCCAACATCAGACAGCCAACATTGATCCAACGTCTTTTTGCTCAGCGTGCCAACGTTGGGCCCAACGTTGGCAGCCAACATTGACCCGACGTTGGCCCAACGTTAGCCCAACGGCAGTCAGCCAACGTTGGCCCAATGTCATATTGCCAACGTTGGCCCAACGTCAGACAGCCAACGTTGATCCAATGTCTTTTTGCTCAGCGTGCCAACGTTGGTCCAACATCATATTGACAACGTTGGCCCAACGTCAGAATGCCGACCATTTGCCAACGTTGGCCCAACGTCATGCAGCCAACCACTTGCCAACCATACACCAACGTTGGCCCAATGTCATGCAGCCAACCACTTGCCAACCGTGACCATGCCAACCATACACAAACGTTGGCCCAACGTCATGCAGCCAACCACTTGCCAACCATACACCAACGTTGGCCCAATGTCATGCAGCCAACCACTTGCCAACCGTGACCATGCCAACCATACACAAACGTTGGCCCAACGTCATGCAGCCAACCACTTGCCAACCATACACCAACGTTGGCCCAATGTCATGCAGCCAACCACTTGCCAACCGTGACCATGCCAACCATACACAAACGTTGGCCCAACGTCATGCAGCCAACCACTTGCCAACCATGACCATGCCAACCATACACCAACGTTGGCCCAACGTCATGCAGCCAACCATTTGCCAACCGTGACCATGCCAACCATACACAAACGTTGGCCCAACGTCATGCAGCCAACCATTTGCCAACCGTGACCATGCCAACCATAC